ACTGAGCCCTTATCCTGTGGGGTCTGATGCTAGCTCCAGGTAGACGGTGTCAGAACGGAAATGAATCGTAGAACATCCAACTGATGTCACAGAGTTACCTAATGTGTGGGAAACCTACACACCTGGTGCCAGAAGTGTTGTGAGTGTGGCAGTAGTGTGAAGGTAAAGGAAAACAGTGAGTTCTCCCTAGATACCCCTCCCCTCCTCCTTAACAATGATAACCTGCTCACTGGGACTGCCAACTGCAGCTGTCGTCTCTCTGCCGACCCTAGGGACCTACTGCCCTGTCACCCCTGGTTTCCGAGTGTGCCCCCCTGGCCGGCTTCACCCTGACTGACGGTCTTTGTTCTAGCATGGCTAGATCTCGTCTGTCCTGATCTGGCCTTCCATCTAATCTCCACGCTAAGGCAGAAAGTCAATGATAATGGATGGGTATGAGGTTTCTCGCTGCGGTGATGAAAATATTTTCAAGTTCCTTGTGGTGATAGTTGCAAACTCTGCAAATATAGTTAAAATCATTGAATTGTACACTTAAAAAACAAACACACCAGTAAGTCAGATCATCCCTCCTCTGCTCAACACCCTCCAAAACGGTGCCCCAGGACCTGACCTCCCCTCCCCCTCCCACCTTGCCCACACTGTTCCATCCTTTTTTATTTTTTAATATTTTATTTATTTAGTTTTAGAGAGAGAGAGAGAGAGAGAGAGAGAGAGAGAGAGAGAGAGAGAGAGAGAGAAACATCAATGTGTGGTTGTTGGGGGTTATGGCCTGCAACCCAGGAATGTACCCTGGCTGGGAATCGAACCTGCTACACTTTGGTTCGCAGCCCGCGCTCAATCCACTGAGCTATGCCAGCCAGGACTGTTCCATCCTTTATGTTTCTTAAGCAAACTCTTGTTCCAGGGCCTCTGAACCTGCTACCCCTTTGCCCACAATACTCTTCTCCCAACAGCTATGGGGCTCACTCCTCACTTCCTTCAGACTTCAGTCCCAACAGCATCCTCATAAAGGGCTCCCTACCTTACATAAAATGACATTCCACTTGGACACACAAGACCCACCACCTACTATTCCCCTACCCCGCCTCACATTCACCACAGCTGCTCCTTTCCACACTTTTAAATTCTGTTTATTTTCTCTCTCTCCCCATTAGAATGAAAACTCCTTTGTTCACTACCACATCTTTACTTGGTGCTGAGAAAACGAAAGGCATGCAACAGGCACTGAGTAAATACTAGCTGAGTGGACGAATAAATAACTGGTCCTAGTGTGACCCATTCTTGATTCCAGCAACGGCACAATCAAATATTAGTGGGTTTTAGTTTAACTATCACAAGATACACTTTGGCATTGATTTAATGAAAATCATACCTTCAGAAAGTTACTGTCATTCCTGATACAAAGAAAAGATCTGCTTTTCTGAGCATTCAGGTTTGTTAAAAATGACAACAAAAGGAATCTGAACAACTTGGAACAAGGAAGGTTAGTCAGAAATCTAAATGGCTAAATTGCAAATGCAGGTTTTAAAAAAATCAATTCAAAGCTTCCTGATAGTGATAAACTACAGAATATTTCAGAGCAACGATTTTGCTATATTGAGTTAGCATAATATACAAAAAACCTTTTCAGTGGGGTCAAAATAAAAACTATTCCAGATCCAGGTCAATGAATGATATTCACTGTCTGCAGGATCAGACTTCATGCATCTACTGTATCCATCATTCCAGCTAAAGGTGGGACAGGGAGGTCAAGTGTCTACTCATTACATACTGGTCAACGTGAGGTCCAGGGCTCCATCTCCTGAATGTTTATATCCCCAGTCCGGAACCTGCACTTTGCCAAATGCTTTCAGGTACCTCCTGCTTTTCAGAAGTTCACTTTCTGCCACTTCCCTTTTATAAAAGACCTACATTAGTACTGTTTTGCTAATCAAAAAATGCAAAGAGGATTTTCACTTTTACAAAAAAGGGGGAAAAGTAAAAATAGTGTTCAGTTCTTGTTATGCAGCAAGCTGTTATTACAGGCTGCGTGCACCGGAGCAGCAAGGGGGACCACCAACCTTCTTCCCCAGAACTACACTCAGCATCAAGCCCTCATAGCTCTGAATGGTCTGTGAACATCTGTGCTTTAATCTTGATTCACTTTGTACATCTGTTAGCAAGGCCTGTCCTAAGGTGATTATTTCTTCACTTTATACCATTGCAGCTTAGGAAAGGTTTCACAGGAACTCTCTTTCAGATAGCGAGGGAAACCTGTATTGCTGAATGAATGGTTGCTGGTGATCAACACCTCCAATTATACCTCCACAGAAGTACTGATAAACTCAAGTACACACTGCAGTTTAATATTTTCAGGACAATTTCTGAAAACAAAATAATCCTCATAGCTACAGATTCTCTACCAAGAGGTAATGTTAAAAGTGTTATCCCAAATCTACGTATCTCAATTTGTTTCTTAAAGAAAGAAGAGGCAAGCCCTGGCTGGCGTAGCTCAGTGGATTGAGTGCGGACTGTGAACCAAAGCATCGCAGGTTCGATTCCCAGTCAGGGCACACGCCTGGGTTGCAGGCCATGTCTCCAGTGGGGGCCACGTGAGAGGCAACCACACACTGATGTTTCTCTTTCTCTCTCCCTTCCCCTCTTTAAAAATAAATAAATAAAATCTTAGAAGAAGAAGAGGCAAGCCCTGGCTGGTGTGGCTCAGTGGGTTGAGGCATCATCCTGTAAACTGAAAAAGGTTTCAGATTCAATTCCCAGTCAGGGCACATGGCTGAACTGTGGGTTCAGCATTCAGCTGAAGCTCATAGGAGAAGCAACCAACCTGTGTTTCTCTCTCACATGGATATTTTTCTTTGTCTCTTCCCCTCTCTCTAAAAGCAATGAAAAAACTGTCCTCAGATGAGGGGAAGGAAAGGACAAAAAGAAAGAAACTAAAAGCCAGACAGACTGAACAGTATATTCACAAAGTATCACCTCACATGACTTATCAATTAAAAAAGAATTAAGGTACTTTCACAGTGCAGGGATCTGATAAACACCATCTTCAGCAGACGTTGAATGCCTCCCCACACGGTGCACTGGGAAGTGGGTAACATCATCCATGTGGGAAGTATTCTGACCAAAAATATTTAATTTGAATGTAACCAGGAAGAAACAATTAGATAAATTTAGACTGTGGGACAGACTGAAAAACAATTAGCCTGGACTCTTCAACAATGTCAATCTCAAGAAACTGAAACAAAGATGGAGAAACTGTTGTAGATTCAACCAGACTAAAGAGACATGACAGCTAAGTGCAATGAGTGATCCTTGATTAAATCCTAAAATTAAAAAGGAAACAAAGCTACAAACAATATTCTTCAGACAATTTGGAGAATTTAAATAAGGCCCATATATTAGATAATATTCTACTGATGTTAAATTTCTTGGGATAGAGTTTTCTGACTACAACAGAAAATGTCCTTGTTTGAAAAGATCCACACTGACGTGTTAGGCATCAAGTGCCGTCACTTCTGTAAATTCCTTTCAAATGACTCTGCAGAAAGTAAAAATGTTATGGTTACAAATATACATACATATGTGTATACATAAGCAAAGGAACATAAACACAAATGACGAATCTAAGTAAAGGGTATGTGGGTATTTGTTATACTATCATTTCAATTTTTCAGTAGGTTTGAACATTCTCAAAACAAAGAATTGGAGAAAAAATATGGAAATGAACAAAAACAAACTAATCTGGTTCAGGGGTGCCTGCAGACTGTGCTGGCATTTCATTTTTTTTGAACAGTGTCTCCAGAATGCCATGTTATCACTGACTGCGTGAACTTAAGACCTTTAGAAACACGGTGAACTGCTAGGTTACCATTTTGGGCATGATTTCAAGCTAACATCTGCATCTGCCCCATTACCAGCTATTTCACAAACCTGACTGGGGCAAAACAAAACAAAACAAAAAAACCAGACAGGCAATACAGAGCAAGACTCCCGTGTCCACTGAATGGCGCCTGACAGTCGCTGACCAGTGGAAGAAAAAAAATCACAGATGCCTTGTTTATGACTGCAGTCCGTAATCCAATCCTCCTTTCACTGCAGGTTTCAGGCCCCATTCTCGCTTTGTTTACTAAGGCAAGGTATCAGTTTAGCTGGAGCCCAACCTTAGCCTTCAACTGCCACTGTTCTGCGTCTTCTTGCCTTTAAAGGTCCAACACAAACTGTACCATCCCCTCAGAACCTTTCATTAGCCTTCCCAAGAAATTGCTCCTCTCGGCTTTTGGAGCACAGATAGTTTTCTACCTTGTATTATAAATTTGAAAACCCCTTCTATCAGGCCCAGCAGACGCTCCAGGGCGGGCAAGAAGAGTTAGAAGAAGCTGTGCCAAAGATCTGGAACGCGTGAGCGGAAGACTCGGCAACGTCTCAGAAAGTGTTTCCTAGAAAGAGAAGCTGGTGGAGTGGGTGGATCCGGATGGAGGTGCGAGCAATCAGCAGGCAACCTCCTGGCGAAGAGGGGACCACACTAGAAACAAACGGCGTGTGAGTTCTGACTGCCCCTCAGCCTGGCCGGGACGATTCGGCGTCGAGCTGCTAAGGCAGAGAAACCGGCGCCGACGGAAGGGGCCAGGAGCACCCTGCACCCTGAACAGGCGGGGACGATCGCCTCCAGGGCTCTTTAGAGATCAAGTCTGAACCTAGGTGGTTTGAAACCCCAAAGACCAAGACCAGTTCTGGAGCTGGCCGAGCTCCCTCCACCGACCCGTACACCCGCGGCCGCTCCCTCCGACCTCTCCCCCAACGCGGGTTTGGGGTGGCCGGAACTAAGGGGGCGGCAAAGAAACGACAGGACAGGGGGATAGAGCTCCCAGCTCTCGGCCCAGGGAGCGGGACCCTCCAAGAAAAACAGCCCCAAGATTGCTAGGCTGCGGGACTCTGGAGAAAAGGCACGCCCCACCGTCGGCGGCCCCGGCAGGAAGTGCAGAGCGCAGGCGCGGGGTCGGTACCTGGGAAGGAGCAGAGAGAAGTGGAGTTGGGGCACAGGGTCCCGTTGCCCACTCGCGGGACGAGCTTCAGGCTCAGGATCTGCTGCAGGAGCCCGGCTGACCCTCCGCTGCCGCCGCTCCCCTCGTGCTCCATCCCGCCGCCATTCACCGCAGAGACATGGGGAAGAGCGCCCGAAGTGTTGCCGTAGCTCGCTCTCACAGCCCGCCCAGCTCTCAGTATCTCAGTCGTCTCAGCGTCACCTTTGGCCCGGGCCCTCTTCCGCCTACCCCAGCGGGGCTGTCAAGTGACGGTCCCTTCCTCCAATCAGAGCGCGCCGCAAATGGTAGGGGCGGGGCGAGAGTTGATCCCGCCCCTCACGTTGCGTAGAGGGAGACCCCACGGAATACTCCCCCTACCCGGAAAGTCTCTCCTGCTTCAGTAGGGCACGCTCTACTCTGCCTTTCTCGGCAGCGCCACCTATAATAAAGTTAGGGAATTGCATACGCCCCACCTGACCAAGATGTAGGTTTAAAACGTTAGTCTCTGGCAATGAAAAGAAGATGGTTCAACAGCCAAGTGAAGGAAGCTGAGAGACAATGCACAATAACTCCAACATTTGGAGGGGAAATGAGTTTTTGAAAACTTAATTAATTTACTTTAAATTTAAAAGCACTGTGTAGAAAATACATAATATTTTCCTTTTAATTCAAGATCATTAACAAGATTGTTTATTAAAGTTCCCTCTTAAAACCTTTGTTTTGGAAGTTTTTTAATACCATTTTCCTAATACTACAACTAAGATTTAGCATCGAATCAAGAATCTTTTCTAAAACAAAAATAGTATTTGAAAAGTCATGAAATATTTAACAATGCTGCCTTTTGGTACATGTCCCAAACTAGCAGAATGTACAAGTGGAGAAACCAATTATTTTAAGGTAATATAACAATCAATCATGTATCACATTAGGAAACATTATCTTGAATTTAGAATTCTATCCCTAGTCAAATTGTGAAATGAGAGATTAAAAAAAAAGACATTTAGACTTTCAAGACTCAGAAAATCTGTTTAAAAGAACCAAACGCCCTTGCTGGTGTGGCTCAGTGGATTGACCACCAGCCTGTGAACCAAAAAGTCAACAGTTTGATTACCTGGAAGGGCACATGTCCAGGTTGCAGGCCAGTTCCCCCAGCACTGATGTTTCTCCCTCCCTTCCCCTCTCTCTAAAAGCAAATAAGTAAAATCTTTTTTAAAAAGTCTTATAAAAAGAGAGAAAATGTGTTTCATGTGCCCTTTCTAAGGGAGCTGAGTATATATTCCAGTGAAGTAAAAGAGTGACAACCAAGAAAGAGAAAGATGTGCAATACAAGAAATGGTAGATTTAACCTGGAGGTGTAGACGGACTTCTGCGCAGTAGTCCTACTGAACACCTCACCAGATTAGAACAGAAAGAAGAGTGTCCTCAGAAAGGATAATGGAATTGATTTAAAGCTATAGACAAAGTGGTTAAGAAGCTCAAATTTTTAATGGCAGGGTGAAGAAGGTACTGTTTCTTCTGTCAGTGAGTTAAAATTACAACTCACACCCCTACACATATACATCCCTAATCTCCACGATCCTTTCTTACTTTTGCCTTTAGCACCTGTTGGTGCTCAACCCATAGTGTGTACTGAATGAATGAATGAGTATGGAGGACTTGAAGGCTGGGATCACAATAGCGCCAGAATTGCAGGGCCAACCAAGGTCTCCAACGTTATCCTCAAGGGAGAAAATAATCAGCTGAAGGACTTGCCACCCTGGGAAAACTCAAAGTCTAGTCTGTAGTAGTTGCTTCAGTTTCTTGTGCAGTTGGCCATCCCTCTCATTTTAGCAGCACTCCTACACCCCCCTGAGGATACCAAAGCTTGTTTTGCTCCCGTTCTTTTTTTTTTTTAGACTTTTTTAAAGACAGTTTTAGGTTTACAACATTGAAAGGGAGGCACAGGGATTTCCCATGTATCTCCTCCCCCCACACATTCACAGGCTTCCCCATCAACATCACTCACTGGAGTAGTACATTTGTTGCCAAGGATGGCCCTACACCAACACATCGCAACCACTCAAAGTCTGTAGTTTACCTTCGAGTTCACTTTTGATGCTGTATGTTCTATGGGTTTGGACAAATGTATAATGACATGTATCCATTATTATTATTATAATAGAGTATTTTCACTGCCAAAAATTCCTCTGTGCTCCATCTATTCACCCCTTCCCCGCCCCTCCCAGACCCTAGTAACCACTAATTTTTTTACTGTCTCTACAGTTTTGCCTTCTCCAGAGTTAGATGGAATCCTCCAGACTGGCTTCTTCCACTTAGAGATAAGCATTTCAGTTTTCTCCATTTCTTTTTATGTCTTGATAGCTCATTTTTAAAGCACTGAGTAATATTCTGTCAGCTAGCGAGAATGAAAATGATTGATTTAACCCTATATAGGTAAGGGTGGGAGTTGTCAGTAAGAGGGTGACAAAAGCATTCTTGACCCCATTCCAGGGAGGAATTGGTACTCCATTTCCAGAGTAATTGGACAGTTTCACATTTCAAACATAAATGCTCTGATCCAGCAGTTCTTTTAGGAACTGCTATAGACAGGCAAATTCAGGCATCTCCTGGGGGCTTCTCCCATCCCAAGAGCCTGGATTCTCAGGAGTATGTCTTTTGTTTTGTCAAGAAAACTTGATTCCAAGGGGACCAACAAGAAGCCAAGGTTCCTTGAGCCATGGACCAATCCCTGTCTTTCTCTGTTTCTGTTCCTTCATCCTGTACTCGGTGAACTCCTATTCCTCCTTCATTTATTTAAACCAAATGTTTCAAAGGTCTGACTCTCCATGCTAAAGTACAATAGGTCTACCCATTCTTATTGTTTTTTCTTAGGGCACAACCAACATTTAAGTTGCATGTTTACCTATGGGGATATTTACATAGGGTCTGCACTCCCCACAAGAGTAAGGGCTGTGACTGCTCTGTCCCTCACTATGTCCCCAGAGCCTGGTACTGGGCCTGACTCATTGGGGCACTCAGCTGGGTACTGCCTGTCTGTCCTGAACCTGCTCTAGTTTCACCCCAGGGCCAGGGAACTCACCCAGAGGCTTGCCCAGAGTGCCTGATATGCACGGAGCAGTCTGGGAGCCAGTCATCCTTATCCTGGGACCTCAGGAGTCAGGTGAGAATGGATGAACTTTATAGTTAAGGCCAATAATTATAGCCATTGATACAATTCGTGACCCAGCAGAGGCAAATGCAACTTGTGAGATGCCAATCAGGCTGGGTCTGAGCCTGACCCTAAAGCCTTCCTCCTGGACCTCACTAGGAATCATTGTCTCCCCGTTCTTGGCTTCTGGCACCATGAACCTCTTGCTCACCCTCCTTTGTCTAAACATACCTCGTTGCCTGGGAATGTCCCTAGGCTGGGTCCTCCACTCCAGTGTACTCTGTTCAGGCAGGGCCAGCAGAGGACAGCTTTATCCCCAGGGGCCAATAGAGGGCGGAGGACAGGGAGGAATGCAGGAAGGAAAGGAGCTAGTGGCAGGGGCCCCAACGCCTCAGCACTTGCCCACCACACCCCTCAACATTCTGATCCTTGAGATATCTCTGGATCATCTCAAGATTTGGCTGAAATATTTGCAGCCAAATGCCAGGACTGCTCCCCAATACCCAGGGATCTATGTCATCACCAGGGAGAAATGATCTAGCTTCCCAAGGCTGCGGCAGGGTCTTTGCTGCATGTCCAGTTTGGTTTACCTGTAAGAAGTATTGAAGTCAAAGATGTGTTTGAGTCCTACCCCCAAAATTAAGTTATGTGACCCTAGCCTTTCTATGTCACAGAGCTTCTATTAATAAATCTGGGGTTTTTAAATACCTATTCAATGATATTGTGAGCAGGGGCAGATCTAGGTTTTATGGAGCCTGAAGCCCCTATGGCTTGATGGATCCTCAAATGAGGAGTCCTGAAGCTTCACCTTCAAGGTCAATAGATCACCGATCTGTGCAAGAAAATAAGCAGAAAATGCCATGCCCTCCTTGCCCTGCCTGCTTTGCAGTGAAGATGTGGGTCCACAATCCAGGTCCCACCAATCTAAAGTCACGTCTGAGAATCAGAAGCTAGCACCCCCCAGAAGCCCTTCTGGCAGCTGATGGCAACAGTGAGGACAGCTCCCTCATTTCCAGAGGTAATTGGTACCATAGTTCTGGTGGCAACTGTCAGTCCCCAGACCAACTCTCTGGCTCAGTGGAATTTGGTATATTCCATTTGTGTGGTCTCAAATCTGCTGCCTTGAGCTTCCTAGAGGTTTTGTGAGCTTTTTTTCCTTTTAGTCATTCTTTAAGCTCAGTACTAAGCCCTCTACACAGCCAGCATCTCTTTAATAAGATTTTGCATCCAGAGCTAGGTGTTGCAGTTTGCAGTTAGGAATCCTACTCCACTCTCCTCTAGGGCTTTGGCCTGGAATGACCAAAGGAAGACAGAGCCTTCCCCCTGCCTCCCTCCCTCCTGTGCTCATAGCAAACCTGATCTAGTTACACTCACCCTGTGACCTGCCCTCCAAGCACTGATCCTGCTGCCAACCTCTTGTTCCACCACATGCTCTGCCTGGCTTGTCGCCCAGACCTCCCCAGCCTTCTCTCCCTCCACCTTTGCTCCTCTCTGCGTCCCTCCAGACTTACCTAGGAGACTCTAGATTCCTCACCCAGGGCCCAGAGCTGACCACTTTCTGTATTGCACACTTGTGGTTCCAGCCATGGCTGACTGTTCTTCCCTAGGACAAATAAGATAGGAAAACCTGACCCATCTTTGTCCAGGAGACAGGTCCCTGCAAGCCTAATTCAGCAAAATCTTCCTCCTCCCTTCATTCTCCTTCTTACTGTGTGGCCTTGGACAAGCCCCTTCACTCTGGCATGTTGCTTGTCAAACTTTACAGGCTGTAAACTCTAACCTGTATCACACAGGTTAATTATGTTTATTTCTGTATGTAGGATCTTTCCTATCAGGACAAATCAAAGGTTCACCTTACCTGGGCAGGTGATGGGGGTGTGTGGGCTCCTGGGAGATGGGGCAGAGAGAGACTAGGGGGAGACCACAAGATAAGAGGCATCTGGTCTGACTTTTTGCTGAAGATACAAGTGGATATAAATGTCAACAGCTTTGTTGGAGTGTGGTGCCAGGGACAATGGAGTCTGAGGTGTATGTGAGCAGATGTACAGACTTTGGGACCCAGCCCACTGCAGTACCCCTCCACTCCCAGACAGAGAGGAGACACCCTTCTCAGCTGCTGGGTGATGCATCATCCGCGGGAGGAGAGAGATAAGGGGAAAGAAAGAGCTTGAGTAGAAGCCAAGTCGTCTGAACTATTCCCAGTGCCCAGAGGAAGTGGGGGCAGGAGCTTCGCTTTCCATGAAGAATGTGCCTGTTGGGAACTTGGCTGGGAAAGAGAGCTCGAAGGAAAACCAAGCAATGGCAATAAAGAAACACGGAGTTTGGGTATGCTGCCCTATCCTAATACAAGGGAGGACACCGAACTCCAGGCCACTGCAGTAACGGCCTGTGCACTGTGTTTCCCGGTTCCCTCCCCACCATAGTTTCCTCCACAGCTGGGGCCTACTGCTAAGGCCCGGGGTGCTTGTTGGTGGATGATGCCCAGCTGAAGCTGCTCGGGCCACGCGGCAACACCAGGTCCAGGGAGAGGTCACGCTGCTCATCCTCGGAAAACACAGGCCGGTAGCCCAGCAATTGCAGTGCACCAGCACACAGCTCCTGCACGCGGCGGATCTTGGTGAAGGACAGCGCATGGCGCCAGGCCTGGGAAACGTTGAGTGCATCCCTGGACGTGGTCTTGAAGGCCTCGCGGCGTGCGCCAGGCCCGGACCCATGAGTGATGTTGTGGATCCAGGCCTCCAACTGCGGCGTGAGGCTCAGGCCAGCGAAGGCATAGAGTGCGCGGATCTCCGTCAGCGGTGCTCGCGCCAGGTCCTCGAAGCGCACCAGTCGGTAGCGGCCATGCAAGAAGGGCGGTGGCTTGTGGGTGGCAGCCTCAGCGATGCGCACGTGGCTGCGGCACACCTCGCGCACCACACGCAAGCCTGGGTCGGCCTCCACCCATGTGCCATTGGTGCCCAGTACGATGCCATTGTCACGTGCCAGTGCCTTGGCTGTCTGCTCACGTGAGCGCAGCACCGCCCGTGGGTCCCGCACCAGGTGCACAATGTGCAGGTTGAGCGCTGGGTCGGTTAGCAGTGGGTAGAGCACCTGCAGGTTGAAGAAGCGCACCTCCTTGAGCACCACGTGGCTGTAGGAGCGGCAGGTTTCCTGGGCCAGGCTGAAGGGCCTCCGTGCACACAGCGGCTTGCACACGGCCTCGCTGCTGATGGCTCCACGCTGAAAGGCACTGCAGGCTGGTGGTGAGCACAGTGCGCGGCTCACCGCCCACTGAAAGAGGTCGGAGAGGTTGCGACGCCACGGCAGGTAGGCGTCAAACACCTCCATGTCACACAGGAAGACCGAACGCACCAGGTCACGCACTGCCATGTGCAGCGCCGGTGCGCTGCCCTGCGACAGGGCGGACCACACGTGCCACGCAGGCTCCATTAGGTAGAAGACATCAGGGTGTTGGCTGAAGAGCTGGCCCACAAAGGACGAGCCTGAGCGCCAGGAGGACAGCACCAGCACGTGCACTCGCTCCTCGCCACCCGCTGGGGATGTCAGCCTGGGCCGGGAGACCAGGAAGAGCAGGAGGCCCGTCTGCGCCAGCAAGAGCACGGTCACTGCGGTGCTGGAGATGCGTGGCAGCCACATGCTGCTGGCCGAAGCCTGCAGGACGGGAGTTTACCTGTTAGGGACCACAGCCCGCTCACCCACTCCACACCCCAACTCCTGCCCAGTGATTGTAGGGGGCAGTCCTGGGTATGTGATGTTAAGCCCTACACGTGATCTAGTCTATGCAGAGCAAAAGGCCAGTGGCAGAATGCTCAGGAAAGGTCTCCTCCCCTCTCTCCTCTCTCTCTCTCTCCCTCTTCCTCTCCTCCTGCCTCCCTCCTTCCCTCCCTCCTTATCTGATGAAAGAAATATTTAAAAAACAAAACTCCTGCCTTTTGGTTAAGAATTCCTTTTGGGGAAACACTTTTAGGTTGCTTAGCTAAACAGCATGATGGATGATTTGGTTCCCTCAGTTTGAATCCTGGCTCTGCGGCTTCCTAGCCTGTGATCTTGGACCAAACACTTAACCTCTCTGTGACTCAGTTTACTCATCTGTAAAAAGGGAATAATACTGGTCTTGGAGTATTGGAATAAGCATGGGGGTGGGACAAATGTGCTAAACTCTTATAACTGATAACTTGCATTATTCCACACAGTGATCTTTTGCATTTTTTCATTTTTTTAAACAAGTAGATACAACTTTTGTTATTAAAAGCAAACAAGTAAATAAAAAAAAGACAAAGAACACCAACTATTGCCATCACCCATGGGGAGGGAAGTGCTGCAGGAGACGTCGACTCACGGCTGGGCATCCTTCCAGAGCCTGTGAGTTTGCGGAAGAATCCAGTTCAGGGAGAGGTAGGACAGAGCCAGAGAAGCTGGGAGGTGAGAACGGAGTCAGACCCCTGGTGGCTGCTTGCCCTTTCCCTGCTGAGGCTACTCACCACAGTCCAGGGCTGCTGGGATAGCTGCCCACCTCAATCACAAATCCATGGAAGATGCTGGAGGGCCCTCAGGTCCTGAGGAAGCAGGAGGGAGGCTGGGTTAGAGTCCCACGGGGGAGGGGGGGGATAGTGCTGCACATTGGGAGGGCTTTGCCTTCCCAGACTGGTAGGGAGTTCCACGTGGTAGGGGCGAAGCTGCCCTGCCCCTGGCTGCCACTGGGCACAGAGCAGATGCTGGATACATTTTTCCAAATGACTGAACTGACTGTCTCTCCTGCTAAGTGCAGGAGAGGGGACTGCCTTCGAGTTCCGACCATGCCACTCAGGAGCTGTGAGACCTGGGGCAAATGACTTGAATTCTCCAAGGCTCAGTTTCCTCCTTTGTAAGTTGGGGATAACATTTAACCTCTTACAGTTGTTGTGAGGAATGCTGGTATAGACACATGTGAGGAAAGGGCTTGTTAAGGCATCATACTTATTTCCCATGTTACTGTTGTATTGTTCAGCTGTGTCTGGAGAGCAGGAACCAGGGGAGGTCACCTAGAGGACACACCCTGAGGTCACCTGTGCTTGGAATTCCAGCACTTTCCAGGCCCACCCCTAGCCCCTCAACCACCCCTGACTCTTTCAGTAAATCTTAAAAAAAAAAAAGGTTTTATTTATTTATTCTTAGAAAGAAGGGAAGGGAGGAAAAAATGGAGAGAAACATTGAAGTGAGAGAGAAACATCAATTGGTTGCCTTTCACATCTATGCTGACTGAGGACAGAACCCACAACCCAGACAAGTGCCCATGTCCTGAGAATCGAACCAGCGTCCTTTTGCTTTGAGGGATGATGCCCAACCAAGTGAACCACACCAGTCAGGGCATTTGGTGAATCTTTACAATGTCATGCTTGTGCTACAGGAAGGAACACTGAGCCTCTCACACCCCAAGGTTCCCTAGTTTTCTTCTCTTTGCTCCTGAGATGATCTCAAGGATGAGATGCTTTGGTGGGAAGAGGCCTGGAAGTTGCCTCCTTGCTTTCACAGCATCTGCTCCCTAATGACACCCTCTCTGTCCATGTCACCGCTGAGAGAAGCCAGGGACTATACTGTGAGCAGATCCCTTGTCTGCTCCTTCCCCTAATCGGGAGGCTGCAGGAGTGGGTGGAGGACGCCCAACAGCCGCCATCTGCTGGCTCCAGAACTGCCTCCGGGACCCCATGCCCACTCCTGGAAAACCTGCAAGCCACCCATCTGCCCTGCACTTGTTATTTAAAATAATTGATTTTTTTTTCTGTTGCTTACTACCATGAGTTCTGATTAGACAGTGGATCCCCCTGGTGGGTGGCCTGGGGGTAGCAGTACAAAGGAACAGGGGCAGAGCTCCTGGAGGGCTGGTCATGCTCTGTTTCTTGACAAGGGTGCTAATTACACATGTGCACTCCATTTGTGAAAAGTCAGCAGGCTCTCCTTACATGATCTGTACTCTTTTCTGTATGTCTATTTCAATAAAATGTTTAAAATCCTGACTAAGATAGTAAGTGTCATATCAGAGGAGCTCCCAAAGACTGGATGAATAAATGATGACAAATATTTGCTGATTGAAGTCAGATGCTCTGTGATCCAAATCCAAAGGGAGTAATTTCCCACTTATCCCGCATTTCTTTCTGCTGAGCATCTTAAAGTTTCAATACTATCTACATATCCCTGACTATTTCTTGGCCTGAGAGATCTAGGAAGGAGCTATCATTCCATCTGATATGCAGTCAGGAAAACCAAGTAAGCGCAGGGAATGGTTTGCCACGGCAGGGGCCGAGCTGGAGCCCAAGAGTAGCTCTCTGGGCAGCACTGACTTGTAGCTCAGTTCTGTGTGTCTTCAACTCCGCAGCATGTCCTGTCACCAGCCTCTCCCAGCCCTGGCAAAGAATCTAAGGGAGTGAAATATAATAGTAGGTACAAATTCCTGGCTTAGATTTCTCTCAGTTGGGCATCAGCTGGAGGCCAGGCCTGTTCCGGAATCCCAAAGGCCGGAGAAAATGGATTCGGATGTGGGATCAGTGGACCCTGGGTATCAGGGGTCACCAGGTCACCCCCAGGGGGGAAACAGCTCCAGTGGAGCCCAGGGCATCCATTAAGGAGAAGGCTGAAAAGGAGGGGAAGAGAAAGAAAAAAGGGAGAGGAGGAAAAGAGAAAAGAGAAATAAAAGAAAGCAGAGAGGGAGGAAAAGAGAGAGAGAAAGGAAGATGAGTGTTTATGGTGGGGTGAGAACAAAAGCCATCAGCAAATACCACCTACTGAGGGCTTCCTATATGCCAAGCCTTTTCCACCCATCTTCAGATTTAATCTTCACAACAACCCTGCCAAGTGACCTGTTGCTCATCCCTATGTTACGGCTGAAGAAACGGAAGCTTAGAAAGATTAAGGAATTTGCCTAGAGGACCCACCCAGCAGCTGAACCCTAGTCAGTCTGTGAACCCTAGTAGTCTAAGTTTAGCACTTTTAACTATATAGTATCAAGTGGAAAAACACAAGTAACAAAACATACACACAAATACACACACCAAGTGTGTCAACTGTGTTTAACACCACTCTGTTATAAAGACATGCATATCAAAGGACACCCAGAGATGGGAGAAAGTATTTGCTAATCATATCTAGAGTGAAGGACTGACACCCAGAATATATAACATGCTGTTACAACTCCACAATAAAAGAAAACTGGATTTGAAAATGGGCAAAAGATTTGAGGAGACATTTCTCCAAAGATATACAAAGAACCTCTAAGCTCATGAAAAGATGCTTGATGTTTTTACTCATTAGAGAAATGCAAATCGAAGCTATAAGGAGAGCCCACTTTCCATCTACTAGGGTGGCTAAAATGAAAAAGAGAGAGAGTAACAAGTGTTAGTGAGAATGGGGAGAAATTGGAACCTCATACACTGCTGATGGGAATGGGAAATGGTGCTGTTGCTGTGGAACAAAGGCAGTTCCTCAGAAGTGTAAGGAGTTACCAAGTGATACAGCAAGTCCAAAACACCCATGCAAGAGTAGTAAAAACATATGCGTACACAAAAACTTATTTATGAACTGTCATAACAGCATTATTCATAATGGCCAAACGTGGAAACATCTCACAGGTTCATCAATCGATGAATACATATACAAAATGTGAGTGTCCATATAACTGAATATTATCTGGCAATAAAAAAGGAAGGATGTACGGATGCATGCTAGAGCGCGGATGAACTGTGAGGTGCCTAACGCACAACACTGAATACACCACAAACCAGTGAACTGTATACTTTAAAAGGGTGCGCTTTAAGGCATGTGAATTATATCTCAACAAAGCTGTTATAAAAAACACGTTTTCTATACTCGGTCTCTACACACACACGGTATGGAGGCAGTGAGGGCACAGTTAGCACGTTCCCTGGTGTTCCCCCAGGTGTTGCCTGAGCCCTTTTGTTACAGAGATAATCTGGAATGTTCTCTGGTTTATTTTTGTAACCTTTTATTTTGCTGCATATTAGTGGTTATTTTGGCATGGCCAGATTAATGTTTTTTCTTGTTAATGTTTTGCTGTATTTTCCAGACAGTCTATAATAAACTTTGATTACTGTGGTAATCCTATAATCAGTTCTTTTTAGTTGGTAAAGGAGGCATGGGTGGAGCTTGCCTGCTCCAGTGTTCACTGCAGGGAGAGAGGTGCCTGCAAATCTGTTTCCCAGCTGACACGGTACCCAGTAGACCGGAGAACAGGCGCATGGCATGAATGACCTCCTACACAGTGATGCACGCACTCACCCAGGGGCAGAACATGTGTCTGGGCCCAAGCCCTGGCCACATCTCCCATCTCTCTGCTGGCCCTATTAGCAACTGCATGGCATCAGCCCGAGTCAGGGAGGCTGGAGTCGCACAGCCCCGGTGCTGCTGGAGGAAGCAGGTTTGCCTGCAAGAATCTATTGGGAAATGAAATCAAATTGGTCTGGGAAAAGAGCCTCTGTTCCCCCAGCTCAGAGGCACCCTGGGGGCACTTCTGAGAGGATAACTCATAAACCTCTTTCCCTAGCTCTGAGTTTTGGGGGTCCCCAAAGTACACTTTGCACAGCACCTAGTTTGGTCTAAATCAGAACGTGCCAGCTGGAGGGCCCTCCAGTCTGGGGCTTCCACCCCTGCACTGTAGTAACGCATGCACAGGACAGAGGCACTGAGTGAGTGCCCTGTGTTCCCCTGTGCTCCCTGAGGTGTTGACTGAGCCCTTTTGTTACAGAGATAATCTGGAATGTTCTCTGGTTTATTTTTGTAACCTTTTATTTTGATTGATCGATTTTTAAAAAGTAAATCATTCTTACACTTCAATGACATAAAAAAGGGATTGTTTTAGAAGAAATCAACTCAAAACACGTAACAAGTGGTGGAACTTGTATGACTTCTGATCCAAACAAACCAACTGCAAGAAGATATCTTTAAGGTAATCAGAGAAATAGTAATATGAACAGAGTATTAGGTGATATTGTGAAATCATTGTTAATGCTATTATCATTACCCAGAATTCCCTTGTTCATGCATTTCTGTACTTATCTCCCCTTACTAGACTAGAAGCAGAGCCCAGTCAGTCTCATTAACGGGAGTACAGGGTAGCACAGCGGCTAATAGTGTCAACTCCACTTGATAATTTATTGTGAGATCTTGGGTAGGTTACTTAATCTCTCTGTGCCTTTTCCCCCTAATCTAGAAGATGGAGAATACTGCCCTGGCTGGTGTGGCTCAATGGATTGAGTGCCTGCTTGTGAACAGAAAGGTCACTGGTTCAATTCCCAGCCAGGGCACATGCCTGGGTTGCGGGGCAGGCCCCTAATTGGGGGCATGTGAAAGACAACTGATGGATGTATCTCTCACACACTGATGTTTCTCTCCCTCTCTTTTTCCCTGTCTCTCTAAAAAAATAAATGAAATATTAAAAAAAAAGATTGGGAAAATAATACAGGTATGGATAAGAGTAGGTTTACATAATAGAAATAAGTGATATAATAAATAAATAATAATAATACAAGAATAAACTGTGTTTCACATACTCAAAACTGTAAACCTATGGCCCACTCCTGTATAACCCAATGCATGGGTTTGATTTGATGATCAAATGAATATATATATAGAGAGAGAGAGAGAAAGAGAGAGAGAGAGCTTAGAACAATGCCTGGCACATAGTACACTTATAACTACTTGTTCAGGTATGTTCGAAACCCTGGGTGACAACTATATTCTATGAATCCAAGGGAATCCTTGGATCTCACAAGGAAAACTCAAGGACAATAGCCTAATCAGGGTCAGGTGACTCTAGCACCCTAGCAACAGCAGGTGGCAAGTCAAGTAGCGGCAGACCATGTACATTCAAAACATAAACCAGTGAGTAAAGGCCAGAAGTTTGTCTTCTGAAGCCAGGCTGGGTTCAAATCCTCCCTCTACAAGCAGTGAGGCGTGTGACTTTGAGCCTGTCACCCCTAAGCTCTCTGTGCTTCAGGTGACTCCCGTGTGAAGAGGCTATCACAGCAGCATACTGGTTGGAGGGGAGTAAATGGAACAATCTAGCATAGGCAGTGCACTCTTATTAGCTCTGGCACTTGGCTCAGGGTTTCAGAGCATCCAAACCCCTTCTGCTCGTTAGGCCCCAGTTTTCCCATCTGCATGCCTCCGGTACAAGAGGGAATAGAAAGGAGAGGTAACATTTGCTGGACACCTATGCCGAAGCCAAGAGAGGTCTCTGTTAGTTCAGGCAGGGGCGGCCAGGCTCAAATCACCTGGATCTGGTTCCAAATTCACTCACCAAGCTGCTTTTCCGCAAGAGTTCCGTGAAAAAAGGCCCTTCAAGAGCTATCTAGATTAAAGCCATACCCTTTGAAACTCAAGTTTCAAGAGATAAAAGATCCCCAATAGTGATCTCGCGGGCCGCTGAAGTCCCAGGAAGACACTTTTAAACTAGTGCTTGGGGCGGCGATGCCCTTTGCACATTTTTAGAAGAAACACGACCTTCAGCTCCTCCCCCACAACCCGACCTCCAGCTGCAAGACCAACGACCCCCAACCCCCAAATGTGCCACTGGCTCAGCCCCAACCCCGCCCAGGGTGGGGGCATCCGCGCGGAGAGGGGACGAAACCAACGTATCCCAAAGCTTGGGGTCCTTGGCTGACCTGGCGCGGCTCCCGAGGCTCGGCAAAGGCTTGTCGTCTCTTCCACGCTCCACTCCACAGTCTGCTGTCTCTTCACTGGGAGTCCGCAGGGGCTGCTTTGCTCCGTGGGGTCCCAAGGCTACTAAGGGATACCCGGAGATGGCAGGGATGAGGCTTTACGGATACCAACTTATTGGAAGCACCTGGAGACTCACGGCGTAGGGAACCTGGAAACAAGGCAGGAGTCCCCGGAAAAAAGAGGCGTCGTAAGAATGGGATGCTGCAGTGGGGGCAGTCCTGGGGCTACAAGGACCAGATTCCCCCTACCCCTGGGTCCCCATCCGTACCAGCCCCGCGGCCCGGCGCTACCTGTGCGGCCGCCAGCGGCCCGCGCGCTGTTCGGCGCTGCCCGCCCGGAGCGGAGCGCACACAATGAAGAGCTTTCAGACGTGGCTGTGGTCCCGGAGCCGGCGGGCGGGAGCCAGGATGGGAGGGAAGGAAGAAAGAAGCCGGTTGGCCCCGGGGTCCAGCTTCCCTGCCCACCACTGACCGAGGGGCCACGCCTCGGGGGAGGGGCAGCTGCGCAAGGGCGGGCGTAAGAGGGTCCCGGATAAGAGGGGGCACAGGTGGGCTTAAGGGGGCTGCAGGAGGCGCACTGTTTGGACGAGGATGTCAAAGGGCGACGGCAGCCCCCTCTCATCTCACTAATCGACTAAAGTATTGGTCTCCTTCTCCGGTCCCGAGAAGGAAGGCTCCCTTCAAAAAACTTGCGAAGGAAAATAAATCTTAATCGTGCTCCTCCTCGCTCTCAGAGGCATCCTCTCAGCGAAGTGACTTGGAATCCAATCCAAACGGGCTACCCAAGCCCCCGGGCTCAGCCTTAGGCCAAGTCCAAGGCTCCTTGATGCCAGGCAGAGCTGTCTGCCTCTCCTCTCATCCCCTCGCTGCTCTAGCCCAGAGAGCAGCAAGTCCAGATAAATACAGGATGCGTTTCAATAAATAAAGGAGATTTCCCCTCCACCCTCTACAGATAACAGAGCAGACTCCAGGCACCTGAAAATGACAGACAATTCTGACCTCTGGTAATCTGCGGTGGGTTCTAAAAGAGGTCTCTGCTGCTGGAGTATAGATTAGTGCATTCTTTCCAGAATGTGGCTTGGCAAGATGAGTTAAAATCCTTAAGAACTTCATAAGCTTTTGGAATTAGTAATTCCTTTCTAGGATCTATCTTAAGGAAATAAACCAGCAACAAGGATTTACATACAGGGTTCACGGAAGTGTTTTTTTTTATGACAACCAAAAAAAAAAAAAGAAATAATGCAAAAGATGAGAAAAATATGTGCCAGAATGCCAACAGTGGTTAACTTCTGGGTAGCAAAGTTACAAACAACTTATTTTCTTTAGTTTTCTATAATTACACATTTCCTCCAATAGGCATTTAGAACTTCTCTGGTCAGAAAGAAACTTCTTTTTAAAAGCACGAACATGAAAGATATGTTCATGCTTTTAAAGGGGAAATGTGTAATTATAGAAAAGGGGAAATGTGTAATTATAGAAAGGGGAAGGTATACAACTGCTTTATTAACCTGACACGATAGGACCTAAGCGGGGCTCTGAGGGCTTCATCTGATTCAAACAGAAACTGGATCATCATTTGGCAAAACTAGAACTGCCCGCTCCAAACATTGGGTAGTTGTCTCAAACTCTGATTTAGCTATTCATTACAGCTCAATTAATAAAATCCAGTATATTTCTCACCTTTTCTTTCAATTACGCTGTGTGATTCAGGTTCAGAGGCTACCAACATCTGATCTGTAAACAAAATGACATTCGCCAGACACACTTGTAATTTTCCAGCCTGTGGTTTCCACATGCCATGTGGATTCCACCAAAAACTCACATGTACCTGGGGCTGGACCAGGGGACTTTTGCCAAAGAGCTAACAAAAGCTCCACGGTCTTCGGGCAGAGCCCTGGCAAAGCGAGGCTGCTGGTGAGTAACTCGGAGAAATGTGTGCCACCTCTCCCCTCCCATTCTTTCCCTTCCCAAACCTTCCCCTCTAAAAAGTCACACGCAGCCTCCATTTTGAACAGTTTAATTTTAATTAGAAAGTTACAAAACATCATGGTTCTTTATACAAATTTTGAATGAAAATAAAATGCAAAGCAATGTTTATACACCTTTAGCTGTCTTTCCATATCTCATCACCTTTTGGTAATTCAGAAGATTCAGCAACCAATTTTCATTTAAATCTCAAAAATATTTTAGACATATAAATAAGCAGCCCTAAATTTTAAAAGAAAATCAGAAGGGCCAGTGTTAGGATATTTGTGCGCTTAAAATAGGTTTGTTTCCAAAACACTTATTTTGGCCAGCCTGAAAGAAAAAGTAGTTCAGAAATAAGAACTGGATCTCCAAGGTAAACTGAGGCACACACTGAAGTGTGTGTTTTTGAATGGGCCTGAAGCACAGGTCATAGTGGGTGTGTCTTTCCAGTACCAATGCCATCTCTGGATCATGAAGCGGATCCATCTGTCCTTTGAGGATGCCGCATGTTTTCTCGGGGCGAGGACAGAGAGTCAGTCTTCTGTGCACAGCAAAGACCTGTTCCAGCACTCTGCTCCTGCAGACGCTCACTCAGTCGTGAGGGTTGTCTGGTGGCACTGCTTGTCATTCTGCTACTGGCCAGGCTGGGCTGGGCTGCCTGGCCTGGCATCCTCTTATTCCCCTCACTGCTCCCGTGTGGCCTCCCCAAAGCTGCCTGCTCTGATGGGCGCCCTGTTCCGTGGTCAAGGGAAATACAGGTAGCTGGGCTTCCCGCTAGCCCTCCAAATAAACTCTGTGGTTGTCGGGCAGGGAGCCAATACCAACAACAGGTCCTCTGTCACCCATGTCCTTTTTGGGAGGGGGGAGGGGGGAGGGGCTGTTGAGAAGGACGAGTGGAAAGTGTCCAGGCTGTTAGGTGAGGGCCAGAGAGAAAAAGCCTGTTGTTACAATCCTTACTTCCCCCACGGTTGCTTAGAGGATTGTGAATGAAACAGCACTTCTGACTTCAGCCTGCTATTCCAGGGGCACAGACAGAGGGCAAAGGCAGGGCAAAGAGCCAGCCACATAAGGGCAGGATAAAGAGCTTTTCAGCTAAGCTGATGACAGACGATGTCTGTTTGACTGAGGGCAGGTGGATGGTTCTAGTGTCCTCACGTTGCCCACCCTCCCATGCACGCACACATGTGTTTGTGAGCACTCTCTCTCTCTCCACCCCCCTCTTCTCCAATTCTCCAGTTAAAGGCCTCTCAGTTCTGGAAATCAAAGTTCTGAATGGGAAATTTCGGTGCCCAAGAGTAGAAAGTGCTAGTGATTTGCATATCTGTCATGAGAGCCCAGAAAAAGAGTAAAACATGGTTTACAACAGGGGGGAGAAATGTATGGCATATTTCTCAGTTTGAGAAAGAAAAAGTCTTTGCTTGACCAGAGATGGGACTCTCTCCAACATGTCTAAACTGATAATAGTTTTCAAGTCTATCCTGAAATTCAAGTCTAAGATTAAAAACAAACAAACAAACAAACAAAAAGTAGGAGGCAAATTACAGCCTTCAGGAACCCTCAGACCTTTCTGGAAACTAGTCTCTGATGATTTCGGTAGGCACTTAGAAGACACAGAATTTGTGTAGAGAAAAATTAGAAAGAACTCTTCTTTGTCTCTGGTAAGAAAAGCGCACATGCCGATACGTGTCCGGGGGCTCTTTTCAGAAGTGTCCCAGATGGCAGTTCTCAGGAGACAGCATGAGGTAGCCAGGGTCCTGCTCTGAGTTTCAGTAATGGTCTTCCTATGATAAGTGCTCCTTACACAGTTCTCCCTGGGGCACTGCTGTTACCGGGATGGTGGTGACCACTTGATTCTGAAACACAAATCTTTTGATTCTTTCAAACACCCAGAGGAAGATAAGTAGGATACTGACATACTGGATCCAGGCAAACTTTATAATTTCCCAGAATCCAGGTAGATAAGTACACACAGTTAAGGATTCTCAGATGACATTTTCTAAGCAAATATTAAACTAAAGTTTAGACAGGATATGGCAAAAATGTTTCAAATACCTTTAAAATAAAAGGGATAATAAAATATTATTAGGACATAAATATGGATGATTCTGACCTAGAAAAATTGCTCGTGAAGAAACAGAAACAGGAAATTAGTTTTCTTTTCCCCTGTGTGAACAACACACACGGTTGTTTGTGCGGGGCCATAGTGCCGTAGCTGTTTCCACTCTAAGGCTTCCTGCCGTTCCTTCTTGGGACAAGTGAGGAATCCGGTTTTCTCTTTTGAAACTGAGCTACTGTTGGCTCCTTCACAGAAAGGATATGAAATAACTTCTACTGGGTATCGGATGACAGCGTTAATCACAAACGGAGCTTCGGCAGCCCTTCCCACCAGCCAGACGGGGTTGGGGTCGGTCAGGATGGTGGTTACTGCAATGCAATCCAGAGTTAGATAAAACATGGAGGGCTATGAAAATACCGGTTTGACCTCTCAGGAAAATTCTGTACTTCAGAACTCATCTCAAAGAAATGATCCAAAAGGAAAGTGAAATTGAATGTGAAAAGTTGCTCGCACATTGTTTGTTAAAACGCTTGTCAAAACGCTTATGTTAAAATAAAGGGGATGCTCAACATCACTAATCATCAGAGAAATGCAAATTAAAACCACAATGAGATATCACCTCACGCCTGTCAGAATGGCTACCATCAATAAATCAACAAACAGCAAGTGCTGACAAAGATGTGGAGCAAATGGGAACCCTAGTGCACCATTGGTGGGAATGCAGATTGGTGCAGCCACTGTGGAAAGCAGTATGGAGATACCTCAAAAAAATAAAAGTGGGATCGCTGCCTTTTGACCCAGCTATCCCACTTCTGGGAATATATCTGAAGGAACCTAAAACACTAATTCAAAAGAATATAAGCACCCCTATGTTCATTACAGCGTTATTTACAATTGCCATGGTGTGGAAGCAGCCCAAGAATCCATCAATAGGTGAATGGATAAAACAACTATGGGACATTCACACAATGGAATACTACTCAGCTATAAAAAAGAAGAAAATTTTGCCCTTTGTGACTGTATGGATGGACCTGGAGAACATTATGCTAAGTGAAATAAGCCAGTCAGAGAAAGACAAATACCATATGATTTCACTCATACTTGGAATCTGATGAACTGAATTAACAAGGAAAGTGGGGACAGACTCATAGATGGAGATCAGGATGACAGTTAGTGGCGGGGGATGTGGAGGGATTGAGCAAAAAGGAAAAAGGACTCATGGACATGGACAACAGGGCAGTGATTGCTGGGGGAGGGGGTTAGGGCACTAAATAGTAATGGAAAAATACAATAGAGATTAAATTTAAAGAAAAACGTGGAAATAGTCTATGTGTTCTACAGTTCTTGAGTGGCTAAGCAAAGGAATACTATACTACCACTAAAAATAATACCAATTAAAACTTTGTAGCAGCATGGAAAATATTTATATTACAAAGTATAAAAATAAACTGGATCCAAAATTGTCTCTAAACTATGATAGCAGCTGTATATAAAAAGATTTGCATACAGACAAAAACTAGAAGGAATAAAGAAAAAACTTGATTTGTAGTTTTCTAAGTTTGGTCAATGTTTTTATTTTTAAAATTTGTTTTTAAAATAATGCTGTTAGTGTATTACTCAAAATCAGGAAGAAATACTAGAACTGTAGTCCCCCCACTTGCTAAATGTCTGTGTGGTAGGTACCCATGATGTCTGGTTGCCAAGCAACACTTTAGTGCCTTTGGAGAAAACCTCAGACCACCAACCAGCCAAACATGCCAAGCTGAGCATTTGAGATGGCCGAACAGCCTCACCTCTGTAAGGGACAGACACACTTTTCCTTATAGCCAGAACCTTGGGTGCATCACGCCTATTCTCCTAATTCAATTGTTGACATGGGGTGAGTCACTCACCTTTCCTATTTCTATTTGAAAACTATGGACAGTAATTTGCCTTTTTTTTTTAAACAAAGGAAACCCATCAAACCAGTGGTGGGATAAATATAGCAATGAAGTGGCACTTACCTGCTGAATCATAGAAGTGGGGTGGGTAGGGTGTGGGTCTTTAGATAGGGAGGAAAAGGACAAATCCTGGGTCTGCCTCCCATCACCGAGCATTCACTGGTTTTGACATTTTCATCATGATAAGGGTTCCAATTCTGTTTCTCTCCACAGCCCCCACCAATCCAGAAAATCCCTGACAGATATCTGAATAAAGTTTACTCACCATTCCTTTCTTGATAGGCAGCAACAATGTGGGTGAGGTCATAGTCATAGGCAAAAGGGCTGGTCCCGTTGATTACGGACACCTGGGATACAGCAGGAGGACCTGGTGTGAACAACTAGAGCAGCTTCTTCTCTGGTCTTTCCACCTTCCTGCCCACCCAGACAGATCTCAGAGACCACCTTCTTGTTTTGGGGGGCCTATTCCAGTATCAACAATCTTTTCTTCAAGGATGAATGAACTCTCTTGCAGTAATTTATCTCAATCCTTCCCCTTATGCACATGATGGAAACAAGGGCCAATATCCACCTTCTATAGGTTTTATAGGTTTTAAAGCTACTTATAAAATACCTCTCTCTATCCCAATGGGAGAAATAAGTTCTTTAATTTTTAAAAATAGACCATATTTTCTGCCTTGGCTGGTGTGGCTCAGTTGGTTGGGTGTCCTACGGTAAATAAAAAGGTTGCAGGTTTGATTGCTAGTCAGGGCACATACTTAGATTGCCCCGTGGGGCGCATAAGGAAGGCAACCAATCAATGTTTCTCTCTCACATTGATGTTTTTCTCTCTCTTTCCCCCTTCCCCAATATCTAAAAGCAATGAAAAAATGTCTTGAGATGAAGATTAAAAAAAAAAATAGACCATATTTTCAACTCCCTTGTCTTTTCCTTACTTTTCTCTGGATGATGTCTAAATGTATCCCTTCTAAATGTAGATTTGGAAATAAGGTAAAATACAAATAGTAAGTATATAATCCTTTAAAGAAAATGACTTCCTGCCCTCAAATATCATGTTCCTGTTGATATAAACCTTCAGATAAAAGGTGATATGGGTTTCTAGGTGAAGACAGGACTCAGAATGCTGAAAACTCTGGGGAGGCATTAAAAAAATGTGGAGAGAAAAAAAAAAAAGGTTCCAGTCCAAGAGAGCAACAAAGGAACTTCCTGAACTCACCTCCTCTCACTGACACACTGAAGTCATGGCTATACATGGAGCAATTCCCTCTGAAAGAAATCTAGAAACTAGCTGGGTGACACCTACACATTGGGCAAGTGAAGAAACACCCACATCACCCACACTGAAACAGTCTTAGCACATCCTCAACTACGGGGAGCCACAAGAACAAAGAAGGCAGCTTGGACAAGGACCAGGTTTGACAGCAACCAAGAGCTCTGGCTGGGCTGATTGGTAAGATTCATTTCCTACATGAGACCCCTCCATCATGACTGGGAGAGGGATATGTTTTATCTAATGCACAAAAACCAACACAGAGAGTCAAGGAAAATTAAGAAATAGAGAAATATGTTCTGAACAAAACAAGAAAGAACTCCAGAAAGAGACCTTAATAAAATGGAGATAAGTGATTTAGCTGATAGAATTTAAAATATCAGTCACAAAGATGCTCACTGAGGTCAGGAGAACAATGCATGAAAAGTAAAAAAGGGCATTATAAGAAAACCACAGGCAAATATTCTCGATGAACATAGATGTGAAACCCTCCACAAAATAGTAGCAAACCAAATTCAACACCACGATCAAATAGGATTTGTTCCAAGGATGCACGTATGGTTCAACATCCACCAATCAATAGATGTGATATACATTAACCAAATGAAGGATAAAAATCATCTCAATAGATGTAGAAAAAGGATTTGATAAAATTCAACATCCATTCATGAAATTAAAAAAAAAGCCTTCTCAATAAAGAGGGTACAGAGGAAAGGGGAACATACCACAATGTAATAAAGGACATCTATGACAAGCCCACAGCCAACATCATAACGGAGAAAAGATTTCCTCTAAGATCAGGAAGAAGATAAGGATGCCCACTCTCACTACTTTTATTCAACATAGCACAGGAAGTCCTAGACAGAGCAGTTAGAAAAAGAAATTAAAGTCATCCAAATTGGAAAGAAATAAAATAGTCTCTGTTTGCATATGACACAATATTACATATAGAAAATCCTAAAGACTCCACCAAAAAAACTCTTAGAACTTACAAAATGAATCAGTAAAGTTGCAGGATACAAAATCAATACACAAAATCATTTGCATTTCTATACACTAACAATTAAGTATCAGAAAGCGAAATTATGAAAACAATCCCATTACACTGTATCAAAAAGAATGTAAGATATGTAGGAATAAATTTAACCAAGGAGGTGAAAGATCTGTTCACTGAAAATTATGACATTGATAAAAGAAACTGAAGAAGACACAAATTAATATTTTCTGTGTACGTGTTAGAATTAATGCTGTTAAAATATCCATACTACCATACTACCAGTGGAATCCTTATCAAAATTCCAGTGGCATTTTTCACAGCAATAGAAAAAACAATCCCAAAATTTGTACAGAACCACAAAAGACCCCAAATAGCCAAAGCGATCTGGAGAAAGAACAAAGCTGCAGGCATCAAACTTCCTGACTTAAAACTATATTACAGGCTGCTGGGGCGACAGGCTGGCTTCTTTATGTGGGCTGCCGCAGTGGGCAAAATGCTGGTGGCCAAGGGCGTGCACAGAGCCGCCAGCTGGGCTGGGCCAGACACCAAAGCAGCGTGGTCGTTGTGCTGTGAAAAAGACACCGTAAGCCGTCTTCGCGACAGCAGGTGCGGCCACGTTAGCCCCAGGTGGGCTCAGCGACTGCTTGGCCAGTCTAGGCTCGCGCCCAGCCCTTCCTGGACCCAACGTCAAGCAGTGACTCCGAGCAGACAACCGACCGGAGCTGCGGACAATGGCATGGCGGCCTCGCAGGCCTCACTCAGGCCCACAAAGGGGATCCTGAAGAACAAGGGCTCCACGACTTCCTCTGTGGTGGCCTCCAATGAACTGCAGCCCGAACTCCTGCCCAGCAGGAGTGGGGATGAACGGAGGAAAAAGTCCCAGAGGTGGGATGAAATGAGCATCCTGGCGACATATCATCCAGCAGACAAAGACTATGGCTTCAAGGAAATAGATGAAGCAAGCACCCCGTACCATGCAACGCGTGATTCAGAAGCCGCTCAAGCACTGACCCCAGATACATTAGCTAACAAATCGGCTGCTGCTGAGGGCTCGCAGCCAAAATATCGGGTTCATGAACAGGGAAGAAGCGATGAAGACTGTGCCTTCTCACCTGAGGAACAAGGTAAAAAGTCTTTATTGAGTGCCTGCTGTTTACTCTTTTGTAAGTGCTCTGAAGGAAATGCGGAGGGGGAAGAAAGGACCCAGCTTCAGGAGACTTCCACACCAGCTATAGAAAAAAAGCGACAGTTTGAAATGAAAAGGAAGCTTCACTACAATGAAGGACTGAATATTAAATTAGGTAGGCAATTAAGTTCAAAAAACCTACATAATGATGAGGAAGATGAAGAAATGTCAGAGACCGCAGCTGGAGAAAGTATGGATATGAAAGTATCAAATCAAGGATCTACTAGAGGTGACCAAGTGCAAACCAAATCACAGAGTTCATAGAAGAGATTTGTCGAACACTGTAATTGTCTGATACAAACCCTGTTACTATATTATACTGCTCCTTGTTCTCTGCAATTCATGACTTAAGTACCAAAATGCATACCAGTTATTACACGTTGTCAAGAATTAAATAACTTTAGAGACTAATTGGACTGGAAATGCCTAACTGATACATATTCTTGTACCTAGTACTTCACCAGAAATACAGCATATTATCACTCCAAAACTGCACTACTTTTGTAAGAACATTGGTTAATTTGTATAAGATATTATATAGTTTTTTATGCTTGGAGGTTACTATTTTGGGGAGAGGGACAGGATCTAATTTATTTTCTTCACTTTTAGATGTGATAGTTCTTATATATATTTTAAATTGAAATCCATTTGGAACAACAGATTATAGAGGCTGATAAATATTCAGTCTGAAAACTATTTTAACACACGTCTTACCCTGATTTATGTTTAATTGAAAAGGATTATTATAAGAGTTACTGTTGCATTTTTAGACCTACTACCTTTAAAATCCCTTTTGAGTTTCTTTATATTTACAGGGAAAGGACCGAATTATATCTCATCAAAACTAGCTTTATTCACAAATAAATGATCAGGTGGAACTTGCACTAACTAACGGCTGCTCTTTTTTTGTAAGCCCTATTGGCAGACTTCAGATCAGATTTTGAAATAAATGTAATTATAATATAGCCTCAGCATTCCCTTTACATGCCTGTCCTCACCACATGCCTTTGTTTCTTACTCCTTTCCACATATACACACACAATAACCCTTCACCTTTATAAAGGGTCATCAAGATTGTCCCAACATTAGGAACTTTTCCCGCACATATTCTATCATTTACTGCAACAATGAAAATCTTATCTTGACTATCAGTGCCTGTTTTTTTCTCCTGATACATGGAGAAAATAGATTTAATAGCAGCAGTGCTATAGACAGGAAATACAGTTCAACTGCAGAATTTCTACATTGCTCTGATTGATTTACAGCTTGCTGATTAAATTGCTATTATTAGTTGATTGTTTGACTTCAATAGGCCTTAGGAAACAACTGAGGTTCTTTTGCATGAGAGAACTGGGTGTTGGCAGTGATATGATGATAGGTCCTGCCTGTACAGGCAGGAGTAATCCTGAACACATTTCAATTTAAGATCTTTAATCTCTGCTTTAAGGGATTATTATAATGTGTGCTATCACAACTGTGCTGTATTCTAACACAGTAAGGTTGAGATGTTTTCCCCCCCGAAATGAAGTGTCATTCCTGTGTATCTTGGTTTAGTAATAGTTTATTTGTAGTCAATTATTTGTATCTTAATTTTTTGTTAGTACTCAATGAATCCATTATATGAACAGACTTTCAAAATAATTTCTGTATATTGCATATATGAAATGGCTTTTATGGAACAGCTTATCTTTGACTTACAAGTTTATGGAAATATCAATGTCAAAATAAATAAAGTGGGAAAGGAAATCTATATTACAAAACTATGGCAATTGAAATAGTACAGTATTGGCATAAAAACAGACATATCAATGGAACAAAATGGATAATCTAGAAATAAACCCACCAATGTAAGCTCAGTTAATTTTTGACAAAGCAGCCAAGAATATAATAGGGAAAGAACAGACTCTTCAATAAATGGTTTATGAAAACTGCACAGTCACATGCAAAAGAATAAGCTGGACTCCTATCTTACACCATACATGCAAATCAATTCAAAATGGGTTAAATTTAACTTAAGACTCATAATTGTAAAACTCCTAGAAGAAAACAAGCGGTATACTTCCTGATATCAGTACCGGCAATGATATTTTTGTATTTCACACCAAAAGTACAAGCAACAAAAGCAAAAATAATAAGTGGCACTATGTCAAACTAAAAAGCTTCTGCACAGCAAAAGAAACCATCAACAAAATCAAAAGGCAACTTACAGTATAGAAGAGAATATTAGAAAATGATATACCTGATAAGGGTTAATATCCAAAATACAGGATCCAGCAGAAGTAATGCCTGCTTGAGTGTGGTTGGTAGGTGTGTAATATGTGTGTGATAATTTCTAGTTTAAATTTGAACATTTCACCTAAGATGTCATATGGTGTGCTTGAGTGTGATATTGTTATGTTACAGAATTACAGGCTTATGATTTTATAATAAAGGGGGCATTATTTGTGCTGGACTCTGTATACAAAGAACTCACACAACTCAACAGCCAAAAAAATTAATTAAAAATAAATAAATAAATTTGATTTAAAAAATGGGCAGAGGAACCTAATAGGCACTTTTCTAAAGAGGACATACAGAAGGCCAACAGGTACACAACAATGTGCTCAACGTCACTAATCATCAGGGAAATGCAAAGCCAAGCCACAATGAGGTATCACTTCAGGGCTGTTACCAAAAAGACAAGAGATAACAAGTGTTGGTGAGGATAGGAGAAAAAGGCAACCCTTGTTCACTGTTGGTGAGAATGTGAGCTGGTGCAGCCACTATGGAAAACAGTGTGGACGTTTCTCAAAAAATTAAAAATAGAGCTACCGTATGATCCTGAAATCAACCCACTTCTGGGTATATATCCAAAGGAAATGAAAACAAGATATGGAAGAGATATCTGTACTCCCATATTCACTGCAGCAGCATCATTTACAGTAGCCAAGATATGGAAACAAACTAAGTGTCTGTAGTGGTTGAATAGATGAAGAAGATGATGTGAGATGTGAGTGTGTGTGTGTATGTATCTATATATATTCAGACATTACAAAGAAGGAAATCCTGGTATTTGCAACAGCATGGATGGACCTTGAAGGCATTACGCTTAGTGAAATAAGGCAGATAGAGAAAGATAAATACTGCAGAGTATCACTTATACGTGGAATCTAAGTAAAAAGTCAAACTTATAGAAACAGTAGAAAATCGGTTGCCAGGGGCTTGGAGCTGGGGGCAATGGAGAGAGGGTGAAAGTACAAAGTTTCAGCTATAAGATGAGTAAAGGCTGAGGATCTAATGTATAACATGATGACTATAGTTAATAATACTGTATTGAATAATTGAAATTTGCTAAGAGAGTAGAACAAAATGTTCTCACACATATACAAAAAAAGATCAATATGTGTGGTGATGGATATGTTAATTAACTGAGAGGAATCCTTTCATAATGTACACATCTATCAAATCATCATAATATATACTTTAGCTTACAGTTTTGTCAATTATACCTCAATAAAGTTGAAAAACACCAGCAAAGACCTTTTCCAAGCCATATTAAGATTATACCTTATAGCCCTGGCTGGTGTAGCTCAGTGGATTGAGCTCGGGCTGCGAACCGAAGTGTCGCAGGTTCGATTCCCAGCCAGGGTACATTCCTGGGTTGCAGGCCATAACCCCCAGCAACCACACATTGATGTTTCTCTCTCTCTCTCTCTATCTCCCTTCCTTCTCTCTCTAAAAATAAATAAAAATAAAATCTTAAAAAAAAAGATTATACCTTATAGTCCTCCTTTTTTTTTTTTCTTTCAGCTTACACTGATTATAGCTAGGGTAACCATAAATCCTACTTTGTCTGAACCAGTCCTGCAATAACTGATAATGTCCTTCTTGCCTTTTCAAAAATAGCCCAGCCCAACTTATACAGCCCTCCTTGGGATATAAGAAAAGTTAGTAGTAATGAGTGTTTAGATGCATGAGTTCTGGTCTCGGACAGAAAATTCATGGCTGTTACTTTCATGCTGTGGAACTCTGGAAAAATTAATTAATCCCTGCAAGTGGCAATTTTCTCAAGTGTAAAATGAGACTTCATTCTTTCAACAGATGTGTCTGAGTGCTTACTATGCGCCAGGCACTACTTTAGGTACTGGGGTGAAAGTACAGATGCCAGTGCTTTTTCTGCTGAGGGAGACAGCAAAAAACCAACTGAAAACATATCTTTACTATTTCCGTTGGAAGAAAGTAAATCCAGGTGACAGAGACAGGAGGGTGGGGGGGGGGTGGGGAGGAAAGAAGTGTCAGGGAAGGACTGTGTTCAGAGACATTTGCACAGGGAACTGAATGGAGTGGCAGATTAAGCTATGTGCGTCCTTAGCAGAGGGAAAGGCAAGTGCAAAAGCCCAAAGCCCTGAGACAGCAGTTGCTTTGTGGAACAAAAGCCAGTGTGGCTAGAAAGGAGCAATGGGGACAACGATAGGACAAGCAGCTGCAGAGCTGGGAAATGTGGAGTGGACGTCCCCTGGGGTTGCTGTGATGAATAAACCAGATGATATATTTAAACCTCTTAACGCAGGACATATATTATGTGCTCAATCATTGGTCATTTGTATTATTTTTGAAATGTTTTACATGAACTGTAAAAGATCACTTTCAATATGGGGTGTATGTGTACACATCCAAAAGCAATGAAATATTTGGTCCTTAGATAAAAACAAAAAGATTTCCTTCTCTTTTTCTAGATATAAACACAGCTATGTCTGTCTCCATATTTTGAGAATTCACGGCAGGGGTTCCTCAGAAATCCTCTTCCATGCCCCTACTGAGAAACACTATTTCCAACTTCCATTTGCCCTCTGCAAAGAACTGTGAACACTGACATGTAGAAACAAAGGAGATGGACAAGAAGAAGCATCCTTACATTGTATCGCACGTCTAGGCCACTGTAGCTCAGGGGCTGCTTCTGCTGCAGCCGCAGGTCTCCATTCACGTATAGCTGGGACCCTGGAAGAGCGAAGGAGGACTGGAGAAATGCCATGCTCTGCATCACGAACGTAGACATCCTCTGAAATCATTAGAGGGAGAGACAATATCAATTTCGGTCAGACCTTAAGGGCTTTGGGATCTCAGGGCCACCTGACTGTGGCTGAAGCCTGGTGGTTCCTCACATACCTGGCTTAGCTATGCAGGAAGCACTCTGCCTAGAACGCTCTGAGGTGTCAATAGCTTATACAAGTTAATATGACCCTAACAAAATACATTTAATCTGCCTAAGTTAAACCCCAAACTACACCTCAGAAAAGAGCCTTTTTCTACAGTGTGGGTTTTCCTAGAAATCAGAAGGAGGGCTCTGATCTATTGAAAGACAAAAGGAAGAGGACAGGTTTCCCTCGGGAACTGACTCACGTGCAATTGGTAGGAGAAAGTCAAGATGAGTTGCACACCAAGAACATGCTCCGTGGACTGCAGTGGAAGCTCCAGCTTAAAATGTAGCATGTCCATTTTCCCATCCTGGTTCCTGTCTTCTTCTCTAGTCTAGGAAACCCAAAGAGGGTCAGTGACCCTGGTCCTTAAGTCAAGAAGAATCTACATCACGGTGGTATATACACAATGACCCACTGTTCTGCTATACACAGGTAGTATGCCCCTCATCAAAAGAAAAAGAAAAATAAATATGTATAAGTGGATCAATATTGGAAAAAGAGACACAATCTTCATACTTGTGCTTCTCAAATATTCAAGGGCCATCCTGAATGGGAATTTGAAGTGGTGATAACAATAAACATCTGGATGGCACTTTTTTTTTTCAGTTGTCTCATTTGACCTTTTTTGTTTGTTTGCTTTGTTGCTGGCATCTTCTGAGGTTGTATGGAAAATTTAAATAGCACATCAGAATTGTCTCCTACTTGTCTAGAAAAGAAACTAATACTAATCATTTGTACTCCTGACTCAGCAAAAAAAAAATCAAAACCCACACAAAGCTCTATTTATACACCCTTAAACCACAAGTATCTTTGCTTCAGATTCTCAGTGTTGGACCTCATCTCATTACTGTCAGCACTTTAAAGCCTAGTGCATCTTTTAGTACCAATCAATAAAATGAAAAAGGAAGCTCTGCAAAATCAGTAAGCTGTTAAATCTACACAGATACTTTATAAATTATGGACATGAAAAGTAGGGAAAACAGGTCTTAAGAGGGAAAAAGACAAATTACAGCTCATAAAAACACTGGTATCCAGTCTGCCCATCTGTAGTCTTATCTCACAGTGTTCCCACAACGACTAGCAGGGAAGGATGGTTACTGAAATGTGACCACTGCTTCCTCGGCACAACTCTGGGCCTTGTTGCTACAACTGATCCTTTTTCAGTGTAGGTTCCCAGAGGGATTTTACTGCAGTGTATCAGCATTCCCATCTGAATTCTCCATCTACTGGTTCATTTTTATTTCTACCAATACCATTAAGCAAGGAAGAAATTCTTTGTTCTCATGGAGATATCTCAGTTTTCAGAAACTTTCAATTGTTTCTTTCCTTCTAGACAATACTGTCCCTATCCTAGAACTTGTCACAGGGAAACCTGCCCTCTCCTTTCCATTGGACACTGTTTTCTCTGTTCTGCTCCATCCGCTTGGCAGGTTCAGGGGAGGGATCTGTTATCAGGGATGATGATCAAGTTACTGAGGCAATTACACATTAGCAGTTATGATAGAATAGAAAAGAGACTGCCTTGTCTTTCTGTGAATCTTCCTGGGTTGGTATTTGGGAATACCTGGAAGATAAAATCAGGTTAACTCTCTGCAGTGATCTATGCCTTCTGGGTCCTTAGTGTTAAACAGAAAGACAAAGATCAAATGTCTCAACTTGCAAGTGAGGATAGTGGCCAGGAGGGAATTCCCAGAAGAATACAGACTCCAACACAGTGTGGGAAGGAAAGGAAAGCAACTCATTTGACTTTGAAAATAAGTTTAAGCTAAGCAGAGCAAGTATTATCCCCATTGTATAGATGAAGAAATCAAGGCTCAGGGAGGTGAAGGGATTTGTTGGGTATGGCTGGTAATGGTAAAGACAGGACTTGCAACCACACCTTTGACTTCAGATCTGGTTCCTTCCAGAGCTAAAACGTCCAGACAAAACAAAAACAAAAACCCAAAACAACTCAAGATGTTGAGTAGGACAAATATTTTTGCAAAAGCCAGCATCAAAAGTGTAAGTCTGTATACTTGTTTGACGCACTTTGACTCCAAGCTCAGAGAAGACAGAGATCTGACATAGCACCGTAATTAGCATCTATTTGTTAAATTCACTTATTAATTTGTCAAATATTATTTGAGGATCTACTATATGTCAGGCACATAGTAGTGCTGGGAATGTAATGGCAAACAAAACAGACCAAGTTCCCTGCCCCCAGTGCCCCCACTCTCTGCCAAGGGAGCTTATATTCCCAGCCAGGGAGGCAGGTAATAAATCAATAAACAAGTAAATACATACCAATATTAGGTAATGATAAGTGCCACAAAGACAAATGAAACAGTCTAAAATTAGAGAATCACCAGGGTAAATTTTTTTTTACAGAAAATTTTTTACAGAAAATATTCAAGGCTTGACTGTTGGGAACCTGAATGGAGTGAAGTGAGGAGGCACAGAAATGTCTGTGGGAAGAGTGATCCAGGCTAGCAAAGTGAACACACACTGAGTAAAAGCGGGTCAGTGTTTAAGAGAGTGTGACTCGGCCAGTGCAGCTGAGCACAGGAGGGAGACAGACAGCAGCAGACGAAGAAGGCCAAGAGACAGTCGTGGGGACGAGAGGGGGTGCAAACGGTGCATCTCCCACAGTGACCTATCACCAAGTTAGAATTTCACTTCTCTAAGGCTGGCAAGTTGGGCTACATTTCTACACTATTACTTGGACAATTAATGAAATCAATTATTTAATTCCATTTAGTTCAAATCAATCTTAACACATGCGTATCAGCTATAAAGGCAGGCATTCAAAGAGTTAATACTTCTTTAACACAAGTTCAAGGTTATTATTTAAAATCAAATTGTTGTGCCTGGCTAAGACACTTCATAAATCACATCACCTTATTTCTGTAAGTGACTTATTTATTTCTGACTTCTGATTCAGTGCTCCTCTGTAATAGCCCACAATAACTATAATTTCAAAGATTTCTGATAGTTTAAGGAGGATAATCCTTTACAGATATATGTGAAATCAATACTAATATACTAGATAGGATAAATATAGCCATTGTTGGATTTAGTCAATGTATATCAGTCTACTTACATGAATCAGAAAAACAGAAACTAGCCCTGGCTAGTGTAGCTCAATGGATAGAGCGCAGATCTATGAACCAAAAGGTCTCCGGTTTGATTCCTAGTCAGGGCACGTGCCTGGGTTGTGGGCCAGGTGCCTACCTGGGGGCGTAGCAAGAGGCAACAACAGATATATCTCTCACACATAGATGTTTCTCTTCCTTACTTTCTCCCTCCCTTCCCTTCTCTAAATATAAATTAAATCTTTAAAAAGAAAAACAGAAACTAAACAGTTATCTTAATAGAGGACTAAATAGGCAAAAGGGAATGCTGTTGATAACACAGAGTAGGTAGCTGCAAGAAGCAGCTCCAGTGCCTGAAGCTGGAGAAGGAAGGGAACCCAGAAGAGGCTGGCGTTACCTAAAGGAGCTGGGACTGAGACGTCAAGAAGAGAGTGCTGCCCAGCTACCTCTGGTACTTCCAGAGCTGGAGGAGGAACCCAGTAGAGGGAATCAATAAGGCTGCAGGAAGACTTACTCCTCCCTGTTTGTATCAGCCCAGCAATGGTTCTTCACCCTGGTAGTGGCAACTGGTTGCAGTTTCCTTTTTTCCTATTCCCAGAACAAGGGTCATCACGCCTCCTACTGGCAGAACCTAACAGGGAGTTAGTGGCCAGATGAGAATGTGGTTTTCAGCAACTCCGCATTGAGCATCACAAAGCAGAGGGATAGGAGGGTAAATTTGGAGCTGGGACAAAACCTAAAAACAACACACCACTGACTGTAAAAGTTGTTATAATTTTAAGGAATATAATTGTTTCCAAATGCCCTGACTTGCAATATTTTTTTCCCCTAAAGGATTCTACAGTATCTCATGCTTTTGAAAGGTTTTTAAACCTTTCATTCTTTTGAGTCATATTCTTTTAATAAAGGTTAGTTTCCTAGTTTCTACCAGTGTTCATTTTACCATGTATTTGTCATCACTGAGTGTTCCATTTCTTTTCTTTTTGTGCTAAAAACACTCTTTGGCATCAGCCTTTGGGTCTCCTGTAAAATAGGGATCACTATTTCAGGGCTCCTAGACTCATGGTATTCTTGCCGCCTGTATTTCGGTGAATCTAAGATACCATCAATCATAAAATGCACCATTTTTTTATGCACCAGTAAGAAAGGAAAAATAATTCAAATTAAACTATGACAGTATGTTCCTAATCACTTAGAGGATTTATTTTATACTTATTCGAAGAGTTTTAGTGCACTCTCTGCAAGCCTGTGCCTTTCCCTTCCCTCTCTTCTTCCCTCCCAGGAGTGCACGTCCTAAATCCTAAGGGACCCCATGAGACTTGCAACCAGGGGAGCAGCAGCAGCAGCCTGGTCCCCGGGCTACCCCACTGAACCTGTCTTCGAGGCCCCTTTCCTCTGAGTCTCCAGGGAACCACAGCAGCCCACCTAGTCCCTCTCCCGTTCCTTCTTCTGTCCTAAGTCCTTCCTGGTTTCACTGTCCCCAGCTGTAATAAGCACGTTCTCAAACTGAAAAAATAAAAAGAGCTTTTAGACTTAGGCATAGTTATATCAGATATCATATTTACGCACACAGACAATTATAGTGAAATAAATTGATCCACGGGCTCCTAAAAGTTCTTTACATCATGATTCTTTTGAGTCACTTTTTGACCCAATGATATTCATATTTTTCTAAGCAATTTTGGCCTTTGTCATGAAGCACATTGGTGATAAAGCATTTTTTAAAATTTCATGAAATCCATTGGTCTGGGCTCTTGAGCAGGCTTTAAAATTATGTGGAGCTAGCCTATTTTGAAATGCCTCTTAAATCTTCTGTTACCCACTCTCCATTTGGCTCTTAGGGGTTAAAATAATAGTATTTTACTATTTTACTATTTTGTCAATTACCGTATTTTAGGACTATAAGATGCACCAGACCATAAGATGTACCTAGGTTTTAGAGGAGGAAAATAGGAAAAAAAATTTTGAAGCAAATATGTGGTAAAATATTTAATAACCTGTGACCCCGCTGTACCACTGCCGGCCCCCCCAACAGTAAGCCAGGTTGGCTACATTCGGACTATAAGACGCACCCTCCATTTTCCTCCCAAATTTGGGGGGAGTGTGTCTTACAGTCCGAAAAATGCGGTATACCTCAATAAAGCTGAGAACAACAACAGTGTTTTACTATGGTCTCTGGGGTTTTCTTTCATGTTGCTGATGTCCCTGCTGAAACTTTTAGTGCTGGCACTTTTGATGTTTGCACCCATGTAGGCAATGAGGACTATGCAAAGCCTGTCCCCTGGCTAACAGCCGTCACAAGATACTATAGGAAGGAAGACACACTCTGATTTCAGAGGTGTAAAAAAAATAAAGTGCCTCAGATATGTGGACTCTTCACTCATCTTCCTATCGCCTTCAGCCCCCAGATTCTGTGGGTTCACAGATGCCTTAAAGAGCCACATCAGCCTCGTTGAGGGAAAAGATCTAGCTGTGTTTTTTTCTTCTCTCATTCAAAACAGCAAGAAACTCGACTTTTAAAGCATTAAAAACATAGGAACTTCAGAAGCGATTCTGTCCAGGGTGACCTGACCAAAGCAGAAGCAAGGTCATTTCTGACTTCTGAGGCATTTTCCCAAATTAGCAACAGAAAAGCCACCTCCCAGCATTTAGCCACACTTTGATCTAAAACCACTGCTTTCTTGGCCTCCTGGCTATTTCTCCGTTGGGCTGTAGTCAGTCTGTTTATGTTCAGAGTTAGAAAAGTAAAGAATTTTGTTGTAATAAGGGTTAAGAGTTTAAGATATGGGACAAGAGATCCTTGAGCTCAGCCAGGAAGGCAGCAAATCAGCAACAGAGAAAGACTGTGGATGACAAGGTCATGCATCATTTATAGACACTGGCCTAGAATGGAGGGGGAAAAAGACTAACAGAATGAACTTTGGTTTTGTGTTTTTGGGGTGCAAAATTGCCCAGTATTAAAGAGGATTAATACTTGTGGGTACCATAAAAATAAGAGGTAGTCTTGCCCTGGCCAAGTAGCCCAGTTGGTTAGAGCATGGTCCTGATACACCAAGGTTGCAGGTTAGATCTCTGGTCAGGGCACATTCAAGAATCAACCAATGAATGCATTAATGAGTGGAACAACATATCGATGTTTTTCTCTCTCTCTCTCTCTCTCAAATCAATAAAAAAAATTCTAGAAAAATATACAATGAAGATTACATTAAAACTTTTTTAAGTAATAAAAGGTAGCGTTGGCTTTGCAGATTTAAAATTAGAACACACACTCACCAGAAGCAGGGGGAACATGGGCAGTGCCTCAGGGAGCAGGTGCTGGTTGCAGAGATTGGAGGCTAACTAGAAGTCCAGCTGGGGAGTCAACCAGTTGTGGTAGATGAATGAGTGAAAAGAATAAGAAAAAACTAATGCTATGTACTTGTTTTTACGATTATTTTAATTTTCCATGATTATTTCTTAGATTCAAGTAACCAGAAGAGTATGACCGAGAGGAATATACAAATGTCAAAACAAAATAAAACAAAATACTACCACTCAAAATTTAAAAGACAGGGAATGCTAACCTGAAGTATCATTAATGTTTGGAATTTTAGAAAAAACTTTCCTTTCCATGTCAGAAAAGGAAACATGCGCACGGAAACGGAAGGTAAGCATTCCTCCATACAGGCCTTTCATCCAGTTGCCCTTCCTCAGAAGCATTATAATCTCAAATAAGAATAAAAATGGGCAACATGTCATGAGTAGTGAGCAGCTATTGAAAGAAATGTCTCCTACTCCAGTTCTATTTTTACAACCAGTTTAAAACTCCTGACCATTTAAAGAATCACAGAGTTCAACAATGCTTATTACAAAACCCAGCAGACTTCCACCCCCATGGCAAGTGTTTTCATCTCATTGCAGGCATTCTCTGTTGACTTCCCACAAGAGATAAAGAGTTTTCTTTCCAGCACAGTTTTCTTCGCGGCACTGTCCACCAACCCCCCTGCTGCCCCCACATGCTCCATCCCAAGACAGAGTTAAACTCTCATTTGACTATGTAAATCCTATTCACAACTAATTACCTTTCTCACCTATTCCTTACTTTTTACTTCCCTGGAGTTAGTAATTATTTTGTTTGCTTGCTTAGTTTTCCAGGTACTTATAAATTTTAACAACTTTTATTGAAATTCCTCACAATTTAGTCTTTATTCAAAATCTTGTTTGCTGCAATATTCTCATAGTGGAAAAAGTGAAAACAAATCAAATATCCACCAATTGGGAACTGGTCAAATCCATTTACAGTTCCATATCATGAAATACCTTGTAGATCTTAAAAAGAATAGGGTTGGTTAACAAGTATTGATACACGTACCAAACTGAGCCTTTAACTTTGTCATTAGATATAGTGGTAATCAGAAAAATATAAGAATATTTAAAGTAATCAGAGAGAAGTCATCTGAATCATATTTTGTTTGTAGTTATTCATATAACTAATCAAATTTAATTGTTTTCCATTCTTTTTAGTTGCTGGAAAAAAGTCTGAAAATTTTTTTTTTCAGCTACACAAGTTTGTCTTGCAGGCCAATCATCTCCGGGATGTTTACAGAAATTCAGCTTCAGAATTAAAACCAGAAGTTTCATATGTTCTCCAAAAAATGAGCGGAAAGGGAGTGCTTGTAAAGGCAGCACTCACTTACCTGAAACAAATACTAAATCACAGACAGTAAAATGCTTCATTTTCATGCTGGACAGCTGCAGAATGGAGCAGCATCTAATGAGACAAGCCCAGGATGGGGGAGGGCCATTCCCAGCAGGTCGCTGAACCAATCAGGGCCTGGGCTTCCCGGTGTCAAGTCTGCATAAAAATGCCTGCTCTTTCTGTTCCCAGTGTTTAGATGCACAATTGCAGCAACACCACGGGGTTCTAACAAGAACACCACTCGTCCTTCTCGACTCCTAAAGGAACTTTCGCGACCACCTTTCTATCAGGCGAGGTCCATGTAAGTGCCGGGAGCTAGAAATAGGCTGCCTTGGGCTTCTAGAAAACTTGGGAAAGTCGAATGAAACAAGAGTTTTACTCCCCAGGAAGTTAAAACATTTGTTCAGGCCACTGAGTCTGTGTACACAACTTACTGTGGGTTCGAGAACCCTTAAGACCTAAGCTGGACTCTCCCAGGGCCTGGCCGTTCACCCCCCTCGGCACCCTTCCCTCTGCCCAGTCTCAGTGAGCAGCTAGGCCCCGGCAGGAACCACGCACCGAAACGAGTGGGATGCGCAGGTGATCCCCTTGCAGCCGGTTGAAGGCGGGGAACGTGCTCCAGGCCAGGAACCCGCCGCGCTCCGGTCCCAGCAAGGCCAGGAACAACACCTGGTGCTGGAAGCGAATGGTGGGCTGCTCTTCGTAGCTGCTCCTCTTCAGCCAGAACCCTGGGGTAAAGAGGGCGGGAAGGAAGTGGGAGAAAGTCAGGAAGGCCGGCGCTTGTGCAGCGAAACAGGGGGAGTTGTGGAGCGCCAGACATCAGGGCAGGCTCACCATGGCTCCGGAAGGCCACCAGCAGCGGCGGGATGTATGTGAGCGCGGTGGCCAACAGCAGGAACACTGCGGCCTTGGAGCAGAGTCCCGCGCGGTAGCTGCGCTCGACTGGTTGAGAGAAGAACTCGTAGAGCGCCATGAAGGCAACACACAGTCCATCCACCCTCTTTTAAACCCCTTCGCGGTTGGGGAGGGATGAGCAAGTTTGGCTTCTCCTGGTTGCCATAGCCTTGGTCGCCAAGGCAACTGACAGCACAAAGAACGGGAACCAATAGCCAGGACGCGGGGCCCTAGCAGGGGTGGAGCTAATGAGGGGCAGTGCCCAAGGGGACAGTCCACTGTGCAGAGTACTCACGTTTTCCCAAGGGCTGAGTGAAAATACAGTGTTTCTTTGCGCTGAAACCGTAGCTGTCGTGTTAATATTTGCGTACTTCATAAAAGTTGACTCAAAATAAATATCTATGTGTTTCTCGTTATGTATGAATCAATGGTTACGTCCGGAGTTCCAGCACACCTTATACATTGGAGGAAAACACACAACATAAATGTGTCCATAGTCTTGGACCTGGTCCAGTGCTAAGGCCAAACCTAGGTCCCTTTGTCTCCAAATTTTCTGTGGCTTTTACTATACTCCATAGCATCACAGATGGAAACACAACACAAATCTCCCAGTTCTTTGTAGGATAAAGAATAATTACTACACAGGTCTTTCTGTTATACTTTGTTACCCTTTTGGGTACAAGCTTGGCTACCACCTTCAGGGGAAAATGTGGTCCTCCTCAAAATTAACATTGGCTTATCACTGAATTGACTGCTTCCGTCTCCTGCCCCAAATCAGTATTTCGAACATGGCAGAAGAATTTTTTCTTTCTTTTTTAAAAAACATCGTTCATATCCAAGTTCATCAAAAGGCCCTGAAGGATCACATTACAGTGCCAAGACAAGAGTGTGAGGTTTGCACTCATAGTAGAGTCCAGTAGTTGATGTTACTATTTTGAAGGCAACCTAGAAATGGCTTTTAGACGAAGAGCAGAGCCAAGATCCTAACACAGAGAGAGGTCAAGACATGCCCATCTGGACAAACTATCCAGGATCCATACCACAGTCCAAGATGACAATGTCATCAGCCAAAAGATGCTTTTGACATCTGGTTTAGTACTACTCACCCTTGCTTTAAAGCTCTTCTGGGTGGCAAAAAAAGCTCTTAAATACAGCAGTTGTATTTCTTAAATTTTATGCTATTATTGTGAGACTGTATTGTAGCTATGCTTTAAGTGGATGACTTTCATTTATTTAAATAACCATTAAAATAAGATTCTAGAATAGATGGTTCTAGTGCCATCTTTTGAGAGTGGCTGTGCTCTGGAAGGAGGAGTTTGCCTTCTAAGCTCCTTCCTTCAACAGAAAGAAACACACATATTGTAGCTAGCGTTAGTTTAGCTACTTTTGAAACGGGGAGGTGACTGCTAAGAATTTAGGTGTATTAAGTGCTTCAGCTTCCGTGAGATGTCATGAGCTTTGCAAAACTGTTTAACAATCTTTACTTTTTGTTGCCATGAGTTGAAGAAGCTAGTCTTCATGGTTTTATTTCAATTCTTTAAGACAGAATGTTAGATTTATTTAAGTGCTAAAGATATTTGTATATTGTGTCATTTTCACACATACATGGCTTTTCAGTTTATATATCCATAATTGTCTCATGTTTCATACAATTTACCTCCTAGGACAAAAAGAGTTGTTCTCTTACAACTACATATTTTAATTATATTCTGTTCCTTTCTAGATGCTCCCATTCAGGGTCTTTTGAATCAGTTTAGAACTCTTGAATGTTTACTTCAAGGCTTTCCAACATGTCTTTCACCTTGACATTTACCTATACCACTGAACCCCTGGCTTCCCATTTTCCTCTTCTAACTCCAGCTTTTGTTTCTATGTGCCAAGGAAAAGTTATCCTTTGAAATATGTACCCTTCCCAAAACATGAAATTCACATTTTTCTCTGAAGTCTTTCTTGATAAGCCTCACTTGGCTTTGTGTCAGCCCCATTGCCCTAAGCCATCCATCAATATCCATGTTCATGCACCTCTCCATATTTGAAATTTATTCTGTGTGTTTTATAGGTCTGTTAATGTGTAATTGCATATATTCAGTATCCTATTTCTTTTCCTGAGTCACTTCTTCAACTAATCACCCCCTCAAGGAAGGCATCCAGAGTCCTTAGAACATTCAATAAGCCAAATATAATTACCCAATAGGTAAAGAAAGTTATATATTATATATATGTATAATTTTCAATCATTAAGGCAGATCAGAGAAGCCAGTTAGAATGGTGGACTTGAAAGACACATCATGAAAGCAGGTAAAGACAGAAAACAGACGATACACACCATTGAAATCATCAGGTGTCATGCCTATGGATTGGTGGGTGGTGGATTGTTCCCCTGAGAAGTATACTAAGCTCCTCCATGTGCAAGATGGTGTATACATGCTTTGGATTAGGACACAATAACCAGCTCCGTAAAGGGAAGCAGGGGTTTCAGTACAATTTCTAACTCTTCCACTGATTCACTATCAGATGGCGAAAAACCATTTTCATTCCTCAGTGTTTAACTGTTTGTAAAAAAAAATGTACTTACATTTTTCACTCACTCTCTAGCTAATTCCATCCAGTTCAATAATTTCAAATACTTCTCTCCTGAATTTGAGACTCATAGATCCATTCACCTGCTCTACATCTTCACTTGGATGTGTCTCTTGGACATCTTATATTTAATATACCCAAAACAAAATGCTTAAATTTTTTTTTATTGATTCTGGAAAGGGAGGGAGAAAGAGAGGGAGAGAAACATAAAAGTGAAAGAGGAACATCAATCAGTTACCTCTTGCATGTGCCCTAACCAGGCACCAGGCACCAAACCCACAACCCAGTCATGTGCCCTGACTGGGACTCGAACCAACAACCTTTCTGTTTGCAAGACAACACCCAACCAATTGAGCCACATTGGCCAGGGCCAAAACAAAACTCTTAATTCGAGTTGGATCCTCAAGCTGGATCCATCCTATTTCAATAAATGGCAGTTTCATTCTTCAAAACATCTTGACTTTGACTTGTCCCTCACACCTCATATCCCATCTATCAGCAATTTTTGTCAGTGCTACCTTCAAAATATATTTAGAGTACCAACTGTTTTCCACACCTCCATGGACATTTTCTTGGTTTAAGCCATCATTTTTCACCTAGATTATCACACTAACTTTTTACAAATTGATTTGAGAGAGAGAGAAAGGGGGAGACAGAGAAACATCAATTTTGTTGTTCCATTTATTTATGCATTCATTGGTTGATTCTTATATGCGCCTTGACCAGGACAGAACCCACAACCTTGGTGTATTAGGAAATGCTCTAACCAACTGAGCTCTCCAGCTAGGGCCTCATAATGGTCTCTTAACTCTTCCTCCTGCTTCCATCCTCAACCCACTGTAGCCTACATCTACGCAGAAGCTAGCCTGATCACTTAAAAAAGGAAAGCTGTATCACATCACACCTCTGCTTAACATGGAATTAACTCAAACACTATTCTATTCAAAATACAAAACACAAGATGTAGAACACAAAACAGTGTTCTAGATCTTTTAGCCTCATCTCCCCACTTACTCCCCCTTGTTTATTCAGCTCCAGCCACAAGGGGCTCCTTCCAGCTCCTGGAACATGCCAACCACTTCTTCAAATCAGCATTCTATCACACCCCACTCTCTAGTCACCAACACTGTTTTATTTTTCTAAGCAGCACCTATCATTACCTGACATTTATTTTTTTGTCTTGTTTCACTAGCATGTAAACTCCATGACAGCTGTTTTTCCCAATACCTAGAACAGTGTTCCTATATACAGCAACAATCATATTTGGTAGGACATTTTAAGGATTTTTGACTTCTTTAAAAACTAGCAAGCAAACAAAAAAAGTTTGGGTTGCTCAGAAACACAATTTAAAAATAACAAAAATAACTTTAGAATGAAACTAGGTTCCACAGCATCCATGAGGAATTTCAACTGTAGGAAATGATGACTGACAATGTTCAAACATCCAGGCCTTTCAGGTGCATCAGAAGCACAGGCATGTGGCAAGGATCATGTGCTCAATTAGGTGAATATTCTTGTTACGTATTCACCAACTCATAAACATGTGATGACCTAGAGCAGATTGCCCCGATGACTTTGCTAAGAAGGAAGGAATGACATCACTGGAGATCCTGAAATCTCAGGCAGATGACACATACACACAGAGCTTAGGCTGTGATTGCTGAATCGCACACTGACTGCCAAGGAAGCCCGTTCATGACCAGCTACCAGGGGAATTCTCCAAGTCTGAGAGTCACCTCTAACTCCTCTGCCTATTAAGATTAAGGGGTCTCTTTGTGATCAGTGTGAGGTTACAGTTCTCAAATGCATATTTCTGATAACTTTTCTTAAACGTTTATTCAAACACATATTCATGAATAAAGGAAGGAAACGGTTTATTTAAATTCAACTTCCAGGTCCAAGGCAGCCTATCATACCTGTTACTGAACCCCCCGGATTGTCATCTGTACCTCTCCCCACCCTGTTACTCCACACAATACTCTCTAAACTGTCAATGCTCTACCAGGGGTGTCCAACCTGTGGCCCAGGGGCCACATGCAGCCCACGATGGTTGTGAATGCGGCCAAACACAAAATCGTAAATTTACTTAAAACAGTAGGAGATTTTTTTTTGTGGTTATATGTCACAATGTATTTAATGTGTGGTCCAAGACAACTCTTCTTTTAGTGTGGTGCAGAGACGCCAAAAGGTTGGACACGCCCCTTCACGGAACACGCGCCGTCAGTAGTCACCAGAGACCCCTCTTCTGTCATACTTAACTCCAAAATCCCCCCTCTTGTCACTAACGCCCCAGTCAGACTTCCCTCCTGAACAGTCCTCTATAAGAACTCTATCCTATCAGCCAGACCCTCAAACTCCCCTTCCTGGTACCTACGTCCACCGAGACAATACTATTACAATTCTCGAATACCTCCTTCCTAGTCGCCAATTCCCTCACAGAAGCCTCTGACGCCTGCAGTTTACATCCCACGTCTACCTCTCCAGACCAACCGCTCTGCTTGCTGCCTCTCCTCGCCCGCACCGCGTCGCTGGGAGCGCCGCCGGAAGCCCCGCCCCCGCCGGTTGCTAGGCGCCGCCAGCCGGA